CGTTTGATGTTCTCAAGAACTGAGTCAGATTGGAACATAATTGTTTTTAAATAAATGTATGTAAATTCAGCTCTGAAGAAACTCAGTAGTGTCATCTGCCCTGAGACCTAAATGAACTTTGGAAGCCATGTTCTCTGGTGCGCAGAGATTAGGAGTCTGTCAGCTGTTTGCTCCACACTCCTAGTATGTCTGTTGGGTGGATCCTGCAAAGTTCAGCCATCTGCAGATTAGCAGTTTATTTTTGAGACAAGGTCTCACTCTGTCACCCTGGGTAGAGTGCCATGGTGTTGTAATAGCTCCCACCAAACTCAAACTCCTGGGTTTAAGTGATCCTCTTGCTTCACTCTCCAGAGTAGCTGGGACTGTAGGCGCCCACCCTGCCTGGCTGTTTTTATTCTATTTTAGTAGAGATGGGGGTCTCACTCTTGTTCAGGCTGATCTTGAACTACTGAGTTCAAGCAATCCCCCTGACTCAGCCTCCCAGAGTGCTAGGATTACAAGCATGAGACACCAGGGTTGGCCATATTAGCAGCTCTAAAAGTCATACTCTGCTGAGTCTTCAAGGTTCTATGGACCACTCCTGGGTCCACACAGGGTGAAGATACCAGAGAGACCTTCTTACCTTTGATTCAAACACACTTGTCCTTATTTGTCCTTTCCAGACAGACTTCTATGTGGAAAAAAAGACTCTACAGCCCAAAATAATTTGAGATATAGGACAATTTCCTGAAGGGACTTTTTAGCTCATTACGGCAAGAGCAGAGGATTGACTAAGCCCATATAGTGGAGCAATAATTTTATGTCAAAAATGGATGCACTGTGTGCGACTGCAATAGAGTGTGAAGTATGCTGCTCAAATTGTCTACACTTGACCTTAGCCAAAAGGCTGAGAAGCGATGCTCCAGTTGTCTAAATTAGCTCATTTAACTGGCACAGAAAGTCTACCAGTTTCAGGGAAGTTAAGTACTTGTTCAGTTAACATGCTGGTCAGTGGCACAGTGGGAACCTGAAACCAGGCTGTCTGGCTCCAAAGCCCCTTGCCTGCGCTCTGACATCCACAGTGACATCTGCTGCTTCCTCCAGGGTCACTGTCCCTCCCTGAGTCTAACTTACTGCCGATACTCAGGGTGTCATCTTCAGAAAGGAGCACTTACAGTTTTCACAGAAGGCTTTGCTTCCTTCCAGTAGAGTCTAGGGTGTATTGACCACGGCTAAGTGACCACGCAGATCTCCTTTTCTCCAGAGGAGAGTTGTTGCATCTTGTATCGCTTTGGTTTCATTTAGGTGGAAGGACTCACTTCCTACTTGGAGTTCAATGTGAACCTACATCTCTGCGGCACAGATGCACGTGTCGTACCTCCTATGATATGTGTCAGTCCCCTGAGAGGTGGCCCTAGCACTTCATATTAGTAAATAAGCAGTGGCTTCATGCCGCCCTCTGCGTTAGCCCCTAACAAGACAGCCAGCCTCTCCTTTGAAGCTTTGAAGCCAGGGATTCCCTGCTCCTCTCTGGCTGTGAAAGTCCTAGGTGGCATCTCCTTCCAGTGTAAAAGGCTTTTTTGTTACTGTAGCCACCTTTGTCAATGACCGCAGCTGATCTTCTGGATAACTGGCTATAGCTTCTCCCTCAGCATTGGCGGCCTCATCTTGGGTGCATGTTCTGGAGAAGGCTTCTTTCCTTAAACCTCTGAATCGACCTCTGCTTGCTTCCAGCTCTGCCTGTGCAGTGTCTTCACCTCTCTCAGCCTTCACAGGATTGAAGAGAGTTAGGGCCTTGTTTTGCATTTGGCTTTGGCTTAAGGGAATGTTATGGCTGGACTGATTTCTGTTCAGACCAAAAAAATTTCTCCGTATCAGCAGTAAGGTTTTTATTTTTTTCCTTATGCCTCACTAGCGGAGCACTTTTAAGACATTTTCCTTTGCTTTTTCAACTCAGCTAATTGGCGCACGAGGTCTGCTTTCCGCATGTCTTCCTCACTCAGCTTCCTCACGTCTAGCTTTTAATTTAAAGTGAGAGACATGTGACTCTTCCTTTCACTTGAATACTTAGAGGCCATTGTCACGTTATTATGATAATTGGCCTAATTTCAATATTCCTGTGTGTCAGTGAAGTGGAGTGTCCAAGGAGAGGGAGAATGACATTCAGTGGAGCCACCAGGACACACACAACCTTAATTGATTAAGTCACAGTCTAATATGGTGCAGAGTTTGTGGAACCCCAAAACAATTACAATAGTTACATTAAAGACTACCAATCACAGATCACCAGAACAGATAAAATATTACTAAAACATTTGAAATATTGTGAGAATTACCACATGTGATGTGGAGACATGAAGTGAGCACTTGCTGTTAGAAAAAATGATCCCATACACTTGCTCAATGCAGGGTTGCCACAAACCCTCAATTTATAAAAAATACCATACCGATCGGGGCAGTAAAGCAGAGCACAGTAAAATGAGGGGTGGCTGTACTTGGCCAATTTCTGGCCATCTTCAGTGACTAGGAACCCACTCCCTGTGTACCTTAGATTGCTCAATCATTAGAATGTTTTCTCTTTTCTATAAAGAAATTCTTAATTATGATGCATACTTATGATGGATTCTTAAAGCAGCCATTAAAAAACATTAAGAATTTTGAGTGGCATGAGAAGATGCTTAAAATATATCTAAAAAGAAAGACACAAAGTTGCACATATATCATTTTCAACTGTATTTTAACAATGCATAAAAAAAAAAAATCATCAGGCTCGGCGCCTGTGGCTCAAGTGGCTACGGCGCCTGCCACATACACCTAAGGTGGCAGGTTCAAATCCAGCCTGGGCCTGCCAAAACAACAATGATGGCTGCGACCAAAAAATAGCTGGGCATTGTGGTGGGCACCTTTGGTCCCAGCTACTTGGGAGGTGGAGGCAGGAGAATCACTTGAGCCCAGGAGTTGGAGGTTGCTGTGAGCTGTGATGCCATGGCACTCTACCCAGGGTGACAGCTTGAGGCTCTGTCTCAAAAAAAAAAAAAAACAAACAAAAGAAAAAACAAATCATCAAAAATATTAACAGTTATCACTTCTTGGTGATGGATCATGAGAGATTATTTTTCACTTAATTGTATTTGTTTTTCCTTAATGAGTATTTTATATTGGGCATATGCTACCTATAATCTGAGAGACTGGGGAAAATTTCTCCTTTGTACAGAGGTGGGATTCCTTCTCTGCTATGTCCCTATTCATCTTAACTCTCAGCTTTGAGGGCAACTCAACAAATCTAATTGGTCTTTCATGTAACAGCATTTTAAAAAGCTTGAAGACAGCTTGCATGCCTTCTTGGCTTTAAACATGGTTGTTTTTAGATAGGTAAGCAAAAATTATCTCCTTTTTAAAAATTTACACTGTAAAAAATATAAACCAATCAAGATGTCTCAATTTCTGTGAGAATGGTACTGTAGCATTACATAAATATCCACTACTCTTTGCCTTTTTCTTCCAAAATAAGCTATTAGAAGGAGACAAATTTCTCAACCCGGACATGTTGGTTTTGTTGAATTCATTTTATGAAAACTGGATTTAGTAAAATCAGATTGTGTATTGGAAAATGTATCTGAGATCTTTGGTAAACTTCTGCTCTTGGTCCAAGGCAATGGCCAGGGCAAAGGAAGGAACTCTTGAGAAGGATGGGAACATTAGACAGATTAGGGGGGCTGTGGGGAGCCACTGTGGGCTTTAACAGGGGCAATGAAAGTATTGGGGGAGATTCAGAATTCTTCCTGCCCCCTTAAACATTTCCATTACCCCTAGTTAGAATCACCACATTAAAGAGATTTTGACCTTTCAAATGCTCATGATAATATGATTGTATAAGTATGCAGTCATCATGACTGGAGTTTGGGGCATGTGTAACCAATATTCATAGAACATTGAAAAAAAGTTTGAAAAATGTATTTCTGCATTGAATTCTCCCAAATGCCTCAAATCTTTCATCAACTATATGTGGTGGAAGAGTTTCTGTAAGGAATGATTCTTTCGTAGATTTTTTTTTTTTTTTTTGAGATAGTCTCACTCTGTTACCCAAGCTAGAGTGCCGTGGCCTCAGCCTAGCTCACAGCAGCCTCAAACTCATGGACTCCAGGAATCTTCCTGTCTCAGCCTCCTGAGTAGGTAGGACTATAGGTGCCCACTACCATCTGGCTAATTTTTCTTTTTTTTAGTAGAGATAGGGTCTTGCTTTTGCCCAGGCTGGTCTCAACTCCTGAGCTCAAGAGATCTGCTTTGGCCTCCCAGAGTGCTAGGATTACAGGCATGAGCCATTGAAACCAGCCTATTTTTGTAGATTTTATTTATTTTTTTTCTTCTTAGATTATCCTATTTATTTATTTATTTATTTATATTGAGACAGAGCCTCAAGCTGTCCCCCTGGGTAGAGTGCTGTGGCATCACAGCTCACAGCAACCTCCAACTCCTGGGCTCAGGCGACTCCCCCCCCCCCCCCCCCCCACCCCCGGGCCCCAGGCGCCC